CGACAGAGCATAGATGTATGGGAAAGAGTTTGCAAGAGTTCACTCCAGGCCTGGTCATGCGTGTCTCCCTGAATCCTGCCAGCTAGGCTCCTGTTTCACTTTTCCCCCTAGATGCCAGGCCAAATGGGCTAGTATCTTCTAGGTAACTTAGCATCCGAATAGAAAACAAACACACTGCACACTGACACATTGGGGTCCCCAACAGTATAATTAGCCTACAGTAAAACCCACCCAAGGGAGCTTTCTGTGTTTTACTAAACAAAGAGACAGCCAGGGATGATTAGACACCTAAGAAAAGTATCTAAAGTAAAAGCAGAGAATAAGAAAGGAGAAAAGGAAGAAAAGGAGGCCAAGAAAGAAAGAGAACATAGGGTGAAGAGAAAAAGAGAAAGTTGGAGGAGGAAACAGAAGAGGAGACTAAGAAATGAGACTACTAGAAGGAGGAAGGAAAATAAAAAAGAAGAAACAATACAATACTTCTGAAAAATTTTTAAATGTAACACTTTAATAGAAATATAATGTTACATACATAACACAAAAATATGCTCCAACTGAACATGAAGCTGCTTTTGCAATCAATACAGGCAAAATCTAACAAAATTCATATAAAGGTTAGAAGATAATGCTGAGAAAATCTCAGGAAGGAAACAAAGGCAGTAAGGGCAAAAGAGAAAACCATAAGAAACTTGAGGATCAATGTAAGAAACCCAATGTCCAATTAATAGGAGTTCCAGATAAAGAACAGCAAAGGCAATAGGGAGGACGTTAACCAAAGGACCGTGAAAGAACATTTCCTGGAAATAAAGAACCTGAGAGTTAAACCCTCTTCAGCATTCTATAGATAAAGTCTAAAACTAAGGAAGAAAACAAAACAAAACAAAACAAAAAAACCATTCTTAAGAAATAAAAAGTATGAGCAAGTGACTTAAAATTCTGAAAAGAATTCAAAGTAGTACAGATTTAAGTTTGGTTGAGTTGACATCAGAGGAGTAAAAGGGCACAGGCCTAAACTTTTCTTGTTAGAAGTCTTACAGAAATAATAGTTTTTGCTATATGGCATGTGTGCTTATGAGAGAGAGAAGAGAGAGAGAGAAATCCCCCCCCCCCCCCCCGCCAAGGGAGATGGCCATACTGCAATCCCTTCTTCTCCATTCTCCTCTTGGGATTTTGGGCACACACATGTGTCTGGCATGAGTTTCAAGTCATAGGAACCGAGACTCAAACTGTAGTCGACCATGTGGGAGTCCAACACCTCAACCACTATGCCACTTGCTGGCCCTGCCCAATTGTTTTATCCAAGTCCTAACTCCTCAGTGTTTAATTCTGATGAACTATTTAGAAGGGCAACTCCAGCTTTATTTTTTCAGATTACAAATTGACCTTAGTGTTGACAGGATGAGTTTATTTTGGGCAATATTGATGACACAGAATAAATGCAACACATGGGCTGTACATTTTCTGTCAATTTCCTGCCACTTGGAGACATTTTCAAACTAGAAAATACAAATGCATCAAGAATACAGAATTCATAAGCCAAAGGTAGAAAAATCAACCTGTTTCCTTTAAAATTTAATACCATGTTAAAGTCTCTAAGTCTTAAAATCAGTGTTTCCTCATTCCTTCATTGGATTTTGTTAAATTGCTATCATGTGGGCCAGCAGGTGGCATGTTGGTTGGGGCACTAGACTTCCACATAGCTAACTGTGGTTTGAGTCCTGGACCTGGAATCTTGCTTTCTCTCTCCCTCTCTCTCTCTCTCTCTCTCTCTCTCTGAGAAGCACATGTACCCTATAGCAAATTAAAAATAACAATAATAAATTAAATAATTTTTAAAAATTGCTATCATATACATTTTAATAAACTGTTTAAGAAATCCCCACCCTCAGTTGGGGCCACACCCTCCATACACAGGATCTGAACAAAGCGTATATTCAATGGTTTCAAACTGGCTGACCAGCCAATTCTAGAGATGAATAATTTGCTTTCCAAACTTCTTTGTTATATTAAAACAGAGAGAAACTATGATAGCACAAACTCCATAGGTGATAGAAAATGCCAGATCTTTCCTCCTTCAATCTAAAGTCCAAGTGTGAGATATACAGTCCAGTGAGCCCGGAAGCACATGGCCCAACAGTCTGCCCTCAGCACAGCTCATCTGAAACACCCGTATTTGACTGACAAGCTCCAAAGAAGTTAAAGGCACTTTAAAGTTGAAAATAAATAAATAAAATCACTTGTCAACTAACATATTGTGACTTTTACTATTACACAGAATAGAATGTTTTCCAACATACACAGGGAACACAAGAGGTCATTTCATCAAATGTTTTTGGAAATAAGAAAAGCAAACTGTCATTTCTGAAGAGTGACAAATAAAATAAAGTTTACTTTATGATGTACACTCTGAAATAAAACAGGAATTTTGACTGACTTGAAATAAGACATCTTTACTATATTCTCTATTTGGAGAAAGGAGGCTGTAATAAATGATTTACTTGCCAACATGTAGAAGGAGTGCACAGTGCATTCTGATTCTCGAACGAGGATGTTTCTTTGAATCTTCCTCTCTTGAGTTCCAGAGAAAAAGCTTCGTGATATCTGTCTTAGTGAATCTAGGGTGACACGGTACTGCAGATCTATTTAAAAAAGAAAAAGGCAGAAATGCTTATCTGGGATTATTTTCACATGGTCCAACTCATTAAATGAACATTTCAGAAAAATTTCTTGAGCAATCAATCAGTATAGTTTCTGTTATTCAGGATATTCACACCACTGTCGTGCAACGGGATTAGTGGGCATGAAGATAACCGCAATGAACTCTGTAGAACCACTCTCTGAATTCACTATGCTTTTTCTGTTTACATCGACATATTTATAATGCACATACTCACATATGTATACACATGCATACATGCATACCGACATAACATCTAATATACTAATCATGTCTGTGTTTACTGGATTTTCACTTAAAAAAATATATATATATTCAAATTAGAATGCTGGAACCCTGTTTGGAGTATTGATGATGTTACATTTCAGTAGAGACAAAGGATATATTAATGGCATTTTTACCGTTCCTATGAAAAGACATAATTGGGGCCAGGAGGTGGCATAGTGGTTATAGTGCTGGGCTCCAGCAGTCTGAAACTCAGGGATGTGTGCTTGTGTGACCAAAATCTCAAGAGGAGAATGGAGGAGAAGGGATTGCATCATGGCCATTCTCTCTACGGGGTGATTTCTCATTGTCTGTCTCTCTGTTTCTCCAGTGAGCACAGGTGCCCTATAGCAAAACATCTTTCTTAAAAAAAAATAAAAAAGCCATCATCTTAGATTATGTTCAAAGCACTATTGAGTTTAGTAAAATAAGCATAAAACAATAAAGAAAACAAGTGAAGCCTTCCACTTTTTATGAAGACTACAATTCCCTTTATTTGATTGCTTAGTTATAAAACCAAAGTTAAATAAGATAAAATAAAGTTTCATATGAAAACCTAATCATTATATTTCATTCTTATATTCCATTTATCTTCTAATCAAGAGCCTATTCCCAAGCATATGTATGCTCCTATAGAAACATTTTAAAAATAAATTAATAAAGCCATTAAGGATTAATGGTTTTTCTCACTCTACCTATACTGTGTTTGCAGAGTTAATTACTCTTCTACAGCCTGTGACCTTCATAAACTTGACTCCATTATACTTTAACATAATTGAAAATATGCCTTAGAAAGTGTAGAACATAGGGAGTAGGGGCTGCAGAGGTGACATGATGCACCTGACAATGCACGCACAGCAAATCTGACTCTCAGAAACAGTTACCTTTTCAATGCAGCCATGGGCTCTGCGGACTACGCCGGTGGTATTCAGGTCCTCTGCAATACCGCTCTCCCCCAGGAGGGGGCAGGAGAATGGAGAAAGAATTTGTGATAACCCATGGGAAAGAAAACTGGGCTTATTTGTAAAGTAAATTTCCAGACTCTACTTTTGAATTGGTCATTTTGTCTCCTAAACACTAGATTGTCCCTAGTATATAGGAAAGTCAGAGGGAAAACTGACATGTTGAAGTCATTGCATGCAAGCGTGTAATTTCTGCTCCAGAACTGACTTTTCTAAGCTATTCTCTCTGTTGCAGAATTCTTTTCGAAGTTCAGCATGTTCACAAAACACATGTGACACACAGCTCACGTGATGGGGGAGTGCACTATCTTAATGGATTTCATCATGGTGGAGTCAATATATTGTCCACCCCAAAGTACTTGCTATATTTATTACTCTTACCAGCTTCATAAATGGTGTCTTCTTTAGACTTTAACTTGACATTAAAACACACTGTAGCATTTATGCATACTGTTTCCTTTCCCTCCACACGGCAATTTTTCTTTTGAATATTCACTTTTTTGGGTTCAAAAGTCATGGTCACTTTAACTACAGCCACATCTCGGGACCTACAAACACATAGACAGTGATTACTCACGTGTGGTCGCCGGAAAGACAGAGAGAGACAGAGACAGAAAGAGAGAAATCACTCCCCCGGGGGAATGGCCATGTCACAATCCCTTCTCCTCCATTCTCCTCTCGGGATCTTGGGCATGCATGCACGCATGCCTGACATGAGTTTAAGCCATGGGATCCGGGACTCGAACCGTGGTCGACTACATGGGAGTCCAGCGAAATAGCCATTATGATAACTGCTGGTCCCTACTCACACATTTTTACTTAAAACAATTTTCGGGAGGGTGCTGAAGATGAGTACACCCACCAGAGAAAGTGAGAGAGAGAGTGAGATAGCACCCTTCATGGGGCATGGTCACACCACAATCCTTTTTCCTCCATTTCTCTTTCCCATCAGGATTTGGGACATGCACACTCATGCATCTGGCGTGTTTTAAAGCTGCCATGGTCAGGACTCGAACCAAAGTTGGTCATGGGATGTGGCTCCCAAGGCACACCACGTAAGCACTGCAGTAGGGCGTGGCCCCACATTTTTACATGTAATTAATTAACCTCATCAGCTTGAAAGTGCACTGTGGGTGCATCATTGGGGATTCTCTGCTGTGTATGGGATGGATTTACAGGACTCATTTATTTCATGAACCTTTGATACAAAAGAGAGGGTATCTGATGTTCTGAGGACACCCAGGGGGCTTTAGAACCATTTTGGACTTTAGGTTCACATGCCTCCAATCTAATTTTGCCTGTGATAGAAAAGACATGGAACCAAGTGCCTAAAGGCAACCTCAGAACCAAAACTCTATTTTGGGGATCTCTGAGTTACTGCGCAATTTGGAAATGGCCCAGAGACCGCTGGATAACTGCTGAGCCTCTGCTGGTGTTCATCTGGACTGTAATCCTCGCTTACTCGTGTAGGTTCAGTCCTGTCTCTGTTCTGGGAAGGAGAAGCACAACAGTATTTGCCCTGTGCATGTATGTCCTGTTATCTCTTTGATATGTGAGATGACTGAGACTCTGAGAGCTTGGATATTCTACCCAAGGTCAAAAGCTGTTAAGGAGGACAACTGGGATTGAATTCAGTCCTCTTAATTCTAAAGCCCCATGGTTCCCACTAATCTAAAATGATAGCAGAAAGAGGTTCTATAAATGGAGACTCTATGGCGCTTGAGGTCATAGCCTTAGAACAGAGCCAGAATAACTGCTGAACACCCTTACCTGGTTTCTGCCTACGACCAGAACTGGTCATTTCTTATTGGGTATCTCTGGACTATTTAAGTCTCTGCTTAAGTATTTACATTTTTAGAGATAATAGCTTTCTTTCATTTATTTTTTGAGTTTTTTTTTTCTATAGGGTATGTGCACTTGCCAGAAAGACAGAGACAGAGAGACAGAAAGCAAGAAATCACTCCCCCCAACCCCCACCCCGCCGGGGGAATGGCCATGCTGCATGCAGTCCCTTCTCCTCCATCCTCTTCTTGGGATCTTGGGCACGCATGCACATGCACCTGGCGTGAGTTTAAGCCCCTGGGTCCACGACTCGAACCGTAATTGACTCCATGGAAGTCCAGCGTCATAGCCATTACACCAAGTGCTGGTCCTGGTAATAGGTTTCTTTTAAAACAAGTTACTCATATAAAACATGGAGAGCATAGAAATAGATGAAGAAAAGATAGGCTGCCCTGCCATGGGGTAAGCCCTTCCACCTTTCCTTTCAGGTAACAGTTCTGCCTCTCAGGGATGGGAAGAAACCGTACAGTAGTCTGCTGTGTACACTGGCCTTAATCAACCTGCTTTCACCCTCAGCAAGAAAGGACAAATAACTCGTGATACTCTCACTCAGCAATATTACCATTAATCTTTAGTACTATTGGGGCCAGCAAGTGGCATGGTGATTAAGGCGCTGGACTCCCACATAGCTGATCATGGTTCAATTCCTGGTCCTGGTGGCTTGCTTTCTCATTTCCCCTCTCTCTCTTTCTCTTTCTTTCTGTTTGTCTCTCTCTGGTGGGTGCATGTGCCCTGTAGCAAATTTTAAAAAATAATTAAATAATTAAAAATATTTAGTACTCTCAGTGATTATTTTTTTCCAGAAGAATATATGAGACCCATGCATACTCATATATATATATATATATAT